CTCTCTCTCTCTCTCTCTCTCTCTCTCTCTCTCTCTCTGTGTGTGTGTGTGTGTGTGTGTGTGTGTGTGTCTGTCTGTATGTATGCATGTGTGTATTTGTGTGTCTACATTCATTTACAATAAATTTGTTGCCGTGCTTACTGAACACATTGCAGAGAAAGGCATGGGTAGCTGCGTCCACAAGACTTTCACCAATTCTGCTTTGTGTCATCCACTTGTGACCATTACTCCTTGAGCATCAACTCTCTCGTAAAATTGACAGAACCAGCTCTTGCAAATGCATCATCTAACCATCACTAGGCCAATGAGCTATAGAGAAAGAGCACAGAGCGGCCCAATGCACCAAACATGCAAACTATGCAAGGGGCCACTAAACAAGGAGGACCCACTTACCATCTTCAGCCGAACAAGACGCCCGGTCATTACAACTGTATTTGGGGCAACGTTAGAAGCAGCAATCATGACCGCCGGCTGTTCCTCTTCAGGTGAAGACCATAGTCTATTACATCGATGAGCACACTGCTCTCATCTCATTGAAACCCACATATAGGTAGAAAGTACTAGAAACGCACGTGGGTCGTGGATATCATCTACCTTTATGCATGGGTAGAAAGTTACTAGAAACCCACGCCGTTTCACTGAGGGAAGTTGACCCAGGAGCTCTGCGATACATCCTTGTCATCAACGATGATACCCTTAGTGCCATGTGGTCATTCCGAGTGTTTCCAGAGAGCAATTGAGCAGATGGGCCAGGAGAGAAAGAACTCGTCAAAATGAAATACGGTTTTGATCCAGAGTTGATGTGCTTGCTATACAGAGGGTTCGGGTCTCCAAACTACCACCGGGCCCAAGTCGTGGTGGTGGGTGAGTCCCAACTGTCATGCAGGCCAAAACAGACTAAACCCAACTCTGTTCCGCCGGGCCCAAGTTGTGGTGGCTGAGTCCCAAAGTTCCTGCAGCCCAAAACAGTCCGGACCCATCGGCACTGGGTCTCAGCCTTCTCGACAGATGGGACAAAACGTTAGTTGGGACCAGAGCGCTGGGACCCAAATAAAAGATCGTTCGGTCTTTTTGCAAGTTAACTTTTTTCGTTTAACCACCAGTACTCCACGGGGTCTTAGGCCGCCCTCTGGGGAGGCTCTGAGGCAATTGCATATGGACCTGCGCAGCGTACCGATTCAGCCACCGCGTTAACGGCCTAAAAACGAGGAGGTACTACAGTTACTGACACCCTACTCTGCGCCGGCGGTGGTATACACACTGCGAAAGGGAAGGCTCGGCAGCCTACCGTACCCGAGGGGAGTGGCTCGGCACAAAATTCCAAGTACACAATTTTTTATTCTCGTTTCCGTTGTTCAGTAAAAGTTCTAAAAATAGCCAGGGAAGCCGAGTGGGTTCCACAGTACCAGGGAAAAAGTTTGAACAAAAAGCAGAACTGTTTTTTTTTTGCCCCATGTGGCCCGTGACAACGTATTTGCAAATTTCGCACCAAACCGAGTGCATATGTTGACCAGAGTTACTGTAGCTGTGACTGTGGAGGCCTGACGTTTCAGGCTGGGCAGGCTGTACTGGTAGGGTTGGTAGTTTTTGGAACCTTGGACAGATGGTCCAACATACCTCCCCCCCCCCCGCCCCCCCTAGGGCGACGACCTTGAGATATTATTATTGATGCTGACCGGCCCCAGGTAATTCAGAAGGACGTTTCTCTTGGCATCCGATTGTATGGCTTCGAACTTGAGTCTGTATTCCAACAGTTCGTAGGTGTACCAACTGAGCTAGGCTCCTTGGTTGAAGTTGCATTTCAGGACGAGGGGAAAAAGGAAAAAAGAAAAAGAGCCGGCATGCGCGGGCCCGGCCCCTGAGGAATGGAAAAGGGATTGCGGATCCCACTTGGCCGACAACAGCGGGACTTTTACTGTTTTGGCGGTGGCCCAAAGGGAAAGGAACCTGCTGTCACTCAGAGGAAAGGATCCGACTTCCCTTCTTTTGGGGGAGAACAAAAAAGAACCGCCTTGGGCAGGGGTCCGGCCCCTGAGGAACAGAAAAGCGATTTCGGATCCCACTTGGCCGACAACGGCGGGACTTTTACTATTGTGGCAGCGGTCCAAGGGGAAAGAAACACGCTGTCACACAGAGGAAAGGACCAGGTAGCTCACCAGACATCGAGAAAAACATAAACAATGCCAGCCTTCTTTTTAGGAGCAGGGACGGCTGTCGGCTTCAGTTGGTTTTCGGTAGAACTACTGCGGCGTGAGTCGCGGACAAACTGCCACATAGGCGCTTCACCCGTTTCCACTCCCCTCCGAGACCAATGGG